CATCCCGGCCATCCCGGCCATCCCGGCCATCCCGGCCATCCCGGCCACCTCGCCCGCCCCCCGGCCAGCGCCCCGGGCAGGCCCAGCCCCGCGCTTGGGCGCCCGTCGAGCGGTATTTAGGGGGGCTGAGGCGGCCCAGGCTGTCCGCCCCGCCACAGAACCGGTGCGAGCGGCACCTAAGCCTGCCTTTTCCCTGGGACCTCGTCCGTTCTGGAGATTTCTCCAGAGCCCCCTCAGACGTCTCTCCCAGGTGTTAAAATTGCTCCCAGGCACGAGGCAGAGCTAAAACTAGGCCCGGGCATGAGACAGAGACTGGGCACAGTCATTATTCACTTAGTCCTAGGGGATTTAAAATCACCTGCGGCTAAAGAAGGTACATGAAAATATATTATATCGATGTATAGTAAGTACAGGTGTATGACTTTTTTTCTCCCCTTGAAAATATTAAAAGACTATCCTTGTGCCTTGGCTGTCCTGTGAGATTTTAGTTATTTTATAGAGGGGAGAAAATTGTCCACGTGGAAATTCATGCTGCAATCTTTAATTGCAGCCATAAGAATGGCTAGTCTGTCGCACAAGTGTCCATGCAGATATAAACTGCTGCCCCCATCATCTTTTGCCAGGTGGAGAAAGGGACACATGCATCCCTGCTCTTTTCATGGTCTGTGAGTGTAAATTTTCCTGACCCTAGTGGCCATCCAAGGCTGGAATCATGCCACAGCTTCCCCAGCTACTGTTATTACTACCAGAAGTTTTCTGCAGTAGGAGTACACACCATGCACAAAGCCCCATCCTTAGACGCTGGGCTATGATTAGACTTTTTTTTTTCCCATTTCCAATGACTTGTGAAATAGTGATCTCATCATGATAATCTGGGTTTTCTGGCAAGAGAAAAGCACCTCTCAATTGCTGCTGGCCAAAGGCTTGGCCTGCTTCTGGGCCTTTTGAGCTCAGCCTGAGTGATGATGTTAGCTCAGATGGGCATGCTTTTGGGAGGATCCTGTTCCCTTCTAGTCAGCCTTAGGGGTTCAAAGAGGGGACAGGAGGTAGTGCAGGATTGGACACATGTTTCTCCAGCTGATATTTTCTCAAGTTGCCACATCTGCTGTGGCAAAACAAGCGAGGCTGCTGTGATGGCTAAATTATGTATTTAAAATATAATTGGTTGAGGTAGGAGGGGAGGGGGAAGGGAGAGAACGTTACTGCAGAAAGGCATGTTTCCACTTGGATGGCCAAATGAAGATATTAGGAGTAAAAACTGCGAGATAAATGACATGGCTTGCACATTATCCATCCACCCAAGGCCTTAGTGGTATTTCTCCCTGAAATTTGATATTAAGGTACCTAAAGACCTCCTGATGAATAAATTGGTCGAATCTCTGTAGGTCAACCTTTTCCAGAGGATTTCCTTGCATCCTGCCAGCCGGAAATCCCCATGGGAACATATGCTTATCCCTGGGAACTGGTGAAATACACCAGCTTCCCTCTCCCTCACATGCAGGTAAACGGTGGAGGAGGCTGGTACGGGGGCAGTCGCTCATCTGGAAGCCCCTGAGGCTGCCGCCCTCCTGGGATTTTTGTCTGTGTGGGGTTTCCCTCTCTTTCCTTCCACCCCCTGCAAATAAACACAGAGCGCCCCTTCCCTCTCCTAAAGGCAGCCAAACTACCACGAACGCGGTCTTTTTGGGGGTGAAATGCAGACAGGGAGCGGGGAGCAAGGATATGCTGCTGCCTTGAGCCCTCCTGTTTCTGGCCCAGGCGCACCCAGTTCTCTGGCGGCTGGAGGATGTATATCGACTGAACAGGGGGTAGAGGGGGGTGGGAGAGGAGACATGAAAACCAGCTCAGGGGGGCAGACAGGGGCTTTTCTTCCGTGGCAAAGGTAGTGCGGATCCCGGTTCACGGGATAAGGAACGAGGTCAAGCGCTTTTGCGAGTGTCATTTGACAGGGGAGAAAAGCCAAGAGAGGTCTAGGGCTAGGGTAATCCAGCTGGGGGCTGTGCCCGGAGATGGGAGGTACTTGGGCTTTCCCCAGAGGAAAGTGGGTTGCCAAGAACCAGGGGTTGGGTGGTGAAAGGAATAGGTGGAGGCGGCCCGGGGAAGCGGTGTGTGCTGGGTGAACGCTGCAGGGGAGCCAAAGGGAAAGTCCTGTTCCCAGTGCGGGAAGAACTAAAAGTCAGCTCGCAGCCCTGGCCGCCGACCGAGCCTGCAGAGTGGACAGGTGCCGGCGTGGCCCGCTCGCGGGCCGGCCGCACTGACAAGTACCTCCCTCGACTTCCGCTACCCCCCACCTCCGCTACCCCCTACGGCCGCGCTGCGCGGCGGGACGCGCCTCCCTTCTCTCCCGGCTGCGGCAGGAGGGCCGCCCCCTCGGGGCGGGGGTCGCCCGCCGCGGGCCCAGCCGATGCTGTGCCCTCTGTGCCTCCGCGGGCGAGGAGGGGGCCAAGGGGCGGCAGGGCCGAGCCGGGCGCCCCGAAGCAGGCGGCGATCGCCGTCTGCTGGCTGCCGCCGTGCCTCCCGCGCCCTCGCCCCAGGTCGGGACCGGCGAGCGCCAATCCGCGCCGGGGCGATGCTGTGGGGAGATTATTAAGAGTGATGCTGACTGATCCCGCACCAGCCCTGCCTGAAACGCAGGGTGAGGAGGTGGAGGGATCACTTGCAGCTCCTCTGGCACTTCACTGCAAAAGCCACTGGCCCGCACGCTCCCGGGGTGCCGTCACCTGGGCCAAGGCGAGCAACCATGAGGGAGCAGAAAGGATAGGCAAGGGGGAGAGAGGAAGCCCTTTCCTGCCTCAGAGGAGCCTTGTGGACGACCTGCTACCCAGTCGAGGTGGGATGGTGGAAAAAGGGCACCTGAATAAAGTCTCTCTTTCTTTTCCAGTGCTAACAACTGTTCCGTGCGATCCTGCAACCCCAGTCCCAAATCAGCTACGGGCTCTCTCTGTGTTTTGTTGTCTTTTCCCAGCTTGCTGGGTAAAAGCGTATGGAGAATCTCTGGAGCTTTCGAGTAGGGGCTCACCCTGTGAACGGTACTCACACATATAATTCAAATTTCACAGCTGACCTGCTCTGAAAACCTCAATCAGCTTCTAATTGAAGGGAAAACAAAATATTGCTTCCCTACAGCAGAGCTAACGATTTAATCATTATATCAGACATTATAGCTTTTAATTAGGCTAATGCTGATACTGTATGGAAAGAGATAATTCAACACAGTTCTTGATGAATTCTGTAATTGGGTTAACGGTGGAGCAGTTGGGGGAAGAGACGTCAATATTCAAGCTGCGTCTATAGCCACCAGGTTTATGAATGAAAGGGAAGGGGGGAAAAAGAAAAGGGAGGGGAAGGAAAGGGCTAAAATTCCCTGACGATAAATGTCTCCCCCCTTCGCCCAGAAGAGCCATGCCAACAACTGGAAGCGTGACGAGGGTAAGGGCTGTCCTGCCGCCGCCTCGGCGCGCCCTGCTCCCGGCCGCCGGTCCCAGACAGCCCGGACTGTCGCGACACCAGCGCAGTCCGAGTGGCGGCCCCGCTGCGGGACCGTACTGCGGCTCCCCGGGGAAGCTCTGGGGGACGTCGGCTTGGCTCCCAGGCCGCTTTCCCTGTATCTGCACCCCAGCCGAAGGGTCGTCCACCGCCGCGCTGGGAGCATGAGGGGAGGGGGCAACCTGGGCCACCAGCACAGAAACTGTGGGATGCTCTGGGGTAAAGTTGGGAGGCAGGGTGGGGGACACTGAGGGTGGTACGGGACGGGGCCGAAAGGCTTCTGAAGTCGTTATGAGAGCAGGCAGTTGCCCTCCGCGCCCGGGGCCGGCGAGGTTCGGCTGCCCGGAGTCGCCCGCCCTGCGGGGCGTAGGTGCTGGGGACGGGGCGCGACACCGAGCACAGGGGTCTACTCAGGGCCAGCCTGTTCCGGGCAAAGTCAAAGCGTCCGGAGGGCAGGCGGCTGTTCCGTGTAGGTACTTCCATTTATTTATTTACTGTGCCAGATAGAAGGAGGGCTGGAGCCGTTTTTCTAAAGGAATTCTGCATCACCACTCCCCCCCAATGTCGATAAATTGTCCCTTTCCGAAGAGTTTGTCTATCTAAGCCTTTCTGTTTTCGCTCCTTTCTAGTTTCTAGTTTCTAATTTCTACTGGCTTTGAAAATTAGCTTTATCTTTTCTCTGCGCCTAAAAGTAGTATCGATCTCCCCACACGTTTGATCTCCACAGTAGCCGGCGGCCGCACCAGGGCAACAGCAAGTCCCGGCGGGCAGGTGGGCCGGGAGTGTCACCTCCCAGCTCAGTTCCAGGGACCGACACTGCAGAGGGAACACCGAGGCACACCTCGGTGGGAGGGCGGGACGGTCAGTTGGCGCCTCAGCAGAGGTTTGCTTCCCCTCACGTCTCCCCGACAGGACATACTGCGTTGTCCCCTCGCCTTGGAACGGCCCCGATCCTTCGCCCGATGGGAGTTCCGAGTCAGTAGAAAAAGCAGAATCGTGACTTTACGAAATTTTGCCAGCAGGAGCATTTTCTAAAATGTTTGTTTATGCGACGCATTAGCTCGACTTCCAGCACAATATTGTTCCGAAAGAGGAATATCCTGTATTGTGATCTATCCTTGTCTTATTTTGTCAGTAATTACAGTAAAATTAAATGGGTCATTGATAACACTCCAATGACACAGCTCCCTGTAATTAACAAGCTGAATACACCTTTTTTACATTACACAAAAGTTGTAATTTTCAAGTCTGTTCAGATTTTTTTTTTAATTATTATTACTAAGGCACATGCCAGGAATATGTGCTGATCAGATGGCAGAGCATCTCGCGGGAGAAAAGGGTTTGCACTATCCTATTTCCTAGGGTTTGGGGCTTCTACCTAAGTGGATGGCCACACCTTTAACTTTTTACAGTCGAGTTATCGATTGGCCCTCTAGACCAAAAAAAAAAAATAATCCAAAACGAACCCCAAGAAAACCTACCAAACATTTTATTTTCCAACAAAAAGAAAATATTTTAAAAGTATAGTTTTGCAACTGTGAACTTTTAAAGGAAAAGGAAGAACTATGGAGATGGAGAGTCTATCGGACTAGCATGACATGGGAAGTTAGTACGAAGTTAATCTTTAAAATTGTGCTGCTGAAATGTCAGTCACGCAAAAAGAGCTTCTCAAGCCCTGGTGCGGCATCCCATTTCCAGAAGGGCAACCTGGCTGGTTATGTCTGTGGCACGTCGCTCAGAACACCGTAAAGGTAATATTTTTGGTTTGCATCCTCGTCACTTATACCCCAATTGCAAAGGCATCATTCAGGACAAGTCAGAATGAATTTGCATAAAAAATAAACGAGAGGGGGAAAAAAAGAAATAATGTAGAAGCTTATTTCTAGCAGGCCATCCTGTTATTGCAAATTAGATTAGCTACAGAGGCTTCAATATAAACATGACACGAGGTTCACAGGAGAGCGAAAGTATCATCCACTTCAATCTCTCCTTTCATTGAAACATCCCCCACAAATTACATCTTCTAATTTAATATACTTTTCCATGAGATTAAAACATCACTTTGACACGATTTCAAACCTTTTCGGTCGCTCATCCAGTGCTTACTTCAGAAAACAGCAAACAAGGGGAAAACTAGAAACATCTAAATAATCTCAGACCGCTGGTCTGGAAATTAAAGGTACCCAGAGGAAATACATGATCCTCTTGCTCCATCCAGTGCAGCATTCTGGCCATGGGAAGGCGGATAATGAACCCTTGAGACACGAGGAGAAAAAACCGGTTTCCTTCCCACCAACGGGAGATCCCGATTACTTGGCCGCAGCCGTGTTTATTTGCCTTTGGAAAAGGGGTGTTTGCCGCAGATCTGTTTTTCAGCAGATCGCTGACTGATACTTCACATTCCCGTTGCACGGATTCCCTGGCTGTCAGCGTAAGGCGGGATAGCAAAAAGGCTACTGACGCTTGTAGCAAATACATAATTTACATCAAAGATTGGCAAACCTGAAAAAGGTGCTGGGGCGGGGGGTGGGGGAGGGAGGGCAGGTTGTTCATAGATTGTCCTGTTTTAGGAATAACAGCGCTTGCAACTATCTAATGCTACAGTTTATCTGCAGCCACAGCCTGACCCAGCCCGCAGCTGGTGCGGGGCGGCAGCCCCCGCCCCCGGCCGGACCCCTCCTCCCCGGGCGGGAAGCGCAGCCCCCACGGGATATCCCTTTCCCGAGGTGGATGTGTCAATTTTTGCCACAGGGGCTGCGCAACCGAGCGGCCCACGGCGAGCAGGGGATGGCGGCAGCCCCCCTGGCCCGCAGCAGCTGCTCTGCCCCTCCGCGGAGTCGGGACGGAGACGGGGCGCGCTGAGACGCTGGTGTAGCCCGGCTTGGTGGGAAGAAAGGGTAGTTCGTCATCTTACTCCCTGCTTGATACTGTACGTTTGGGAACAATTTGCAACCACCCTTCCTAACCCCATCCCTTCATCTATCCATCCATCTACCCTCCCCCCTTAACAAAGAGGCTTTCAAACCATAACCTTTTATGGCAGCCCGCGGGAATCAATGCGATAAAACGGGGGTTTAATGGGTTAATTGACTGGAGCCGCTATCATGTTTAAACACCTGTTTCTGAAAAGATATTCAGCCAAAACCAGTCCCCTCCCTGATCGATAGATGTACAACCTTGCTCCGTTGCCTGTTGATCGACCCCAAATACCACCGTCAAATATGAGAGGAAAAATCCATGTCACCGTTTTAATATCCCGATACTTTATGACAATAGTGAGAAGCTCTACAGATACTTTGGAGTTGGGGAGAGAGGGTGAGACCCTGGGTCGGACCAACCCAGGTAGCCCTAAACCCCTAGAGTTTTTTTCGCCGGGACTTGACTTCGAGAGGCTGGGCACAACCTCCCTGTCGAGAGGTCCCGGCAGCTGTCACCTTCACAGAGAACCGGATCCGGGGATCCCCGTTCCCTGGGAAGATGGAGTCGGGCTCATTCCGGCCGCATTAGCAGTGCTGGGAGCCCATATGAATGCTCGTTCCGAGGGGCAGAGATTAAGCAGGCATTAGTTGTAATAGCTGAGGGCTGCTATGCCTATTGACTTCCCTTTTTTTGGCAGTATTAATACAGCCAAGCCCACCGGTCAGTCACAGCGAAATTGATTCTTTGCCCAAGACACCTTTCAGTAAATGGCACCCGCGCACCGACATGTTAATTTTTGAACGTGTAGCCGGAGCGGGCGCTGCGCGCTCGGGAGGCAGCGCCGCCGCCCCCGGCGCCCTCCCCGCCCCAACCCGCCCGCAGTCCCCGGCCCCGGTCGCCACTTCTCTCCCCCGCCTCAAAACCCATGAGGCGTCTTCCCCAGAAGGCGGAGGGGGGCAGCCCCAAACACTGTCGCCCGCGCTTCCCCCCCCCCCCCCCAAATCCGTGTCATAGCCGATAACCCAGTGACTGCAATCGGCTCTTCTCTCCTTGCAGCAAAAGTAACTTGGAAGCCCTCCCTTCGCCGGCTTTCCCTCCTCCGTTCCCAAGACAGGGTGAAGACCCCCTCAAAAGTTAGAGGCACACTTACAGTTGCTCTTCCAGTTCCAGCCTCCTCCCAACATATCATCTGAAGGGGCAGCCTTATTATTATTACCTCCCTTCCCCCCCGCTCTAGCCTAGCTCACACCTTCTTCATCCGACCGTGCCCGCAGGTGCAGGGCAGTGCGACATGGAGCCGGCGGTCTCCTCCTCGCCCCTCGCCCAGCCGCAGCTCCCAGGCGGCTGTGCCCGAGCCACGAGTGCCCGGCGACACACGCACACTCACCATTCGCGCTCTCTCGCTCACTCGCTCTCTCTCTCTCCCCCTCACACACACGCGCAACACACACACACACTGCACTGGAGAGGGGGAGAGAGGGAGAGCGGGAGAGAGAGAAGAAAATGAAATTTATTATTGATAGAAAAGACTTTAAAGACAATTTCAAGTTATTGTTTCGGTCTGGAGAGAAAAGGGAAAAAAAAGAAAAGGAAAAAAAAAGAGAGGGGCTTTTCTCCCCACCCCAACATAATGAAATGCCTTTTGTGTGGCACCGAACAATACCAAACAAGTATTCTAATAAATAGCCACTTTTTTGTTCCGTCGCGGCGGTGAATAGAATTGAGCAGTTGGTTTGAGAGCAGCTGGAGCGCCGCGCCGAGCGGGGAGGTGGAGCTCGGAGCCTTCCTCCTCTTTCTCTTCCCCTTTAGCTCTCTCACACGCACTTTCTCCTCTAAGCTTGCATTTCTGCCTTCCAGCTCCTGCTGGGCCACTCTCCCCTGCCCCTTTCTCCGGTGGAGATGCCTCCTGGAAGGGAAGAGCCACCCCTGGGTGCTGCTTCCCGCACCTGTGCCACGCCGCGGGGCTCCCCGCGCTTCCGCCCGTCCCTCCCCACGTCCGCCTCGTCCTCTCCGAGAACCCGCTCCTGCTCTCCCCGCTGTGTCCTGACGGTCCCCAGCCGCCCAGGGACCCCTTTCCCGCGCACCCCCGCCGTACTCTGCCTCCGGCAGCTCGGGACGGCGGAGGCTCCGAGCCTGGCCAGACCCTCCTTTGTTGACAATAAACTTGGATTTCACAGGGAGGCTCAGAGCCCCTCTCCGCCCCTCTCGCTCCCCCTCTCCCGGCCTTCTCTCGCTTTCCCCGGGCTGGAACCGGGCTTTGTCAGCCTCCCCCTCTCCGCTCGGGATCGCTGCGGAGGGTCCGCACCTCCTCCACCCTGTACCACTCACTGAGATCACCTCCCCTTTCCTAGACAGCGCCGTTAGTTTTTTCCTGCATGTTTCTTCCCTCCCAGAAATACTCTTTTCCAGTCCCTTTCTGCCAACATGACAACCATTCTAGGAAAGCAAGTCGATAGATATTATTAAAATGGACACAAATCAGCTAAAGATTTTCAGGTAAAGCTGAGAGTGCCCCGTTTTCCGTTCTGCTCCGGCTGTGCGGGTGTGTACCTGTCCGTCTGTGCCGGGGGTGTGCAGTGTGGAGAGAGGGCAGAGGGGGACACAGGATATGGTTTTCCTCGCCAGTGGGGCCGGCTATAGCGTCCAGGCGGGTCATGGCTGCCTGTACCCTGATGGGGGACCAGCCGCGCCGGGGCTGGGAATGAACACCGGGGGCAGCCGCCTTCCTGTGGCCGGACTGTCTTCTTCTCTTATTGGGGAGGGATCTAGTCCTCATTTAAAAAATAAATTAATAAATACATCCCCCTACCCCCACCGTTAACCTCCCATTCTCTTGCCATCCAGAGCTCTGCTTGTCTCGCAGAAGCTGCGGGAAGCACCCGAGGTTCAAATAAACCTCAACAATTTCTGCAGACTCCTTAGCATGCAGGGATTACCTCGTCAGCTATTTCGAGTTGCTCAGTCACATACAATCATTAGATATGTTGGAATAAAAAGCAGATTGCTTTAAAGTTAAACCATCGTTGCCCTTTACAGACTCGTATTGGCGCCTGAAGGGGGAACGAACGGGCATATATATTAACGACCTAAATTAAATGTTACATCCTCATCCGTGGGAATAGAAGTGGGAGAGACCTCGGCCAAGGTGCAGCGCTCGCTCCCCATTAGCGCTTTCCTTTGCACGTCCTTCCAGAGCTGCCCAGAGGGATCCCTGGAGGTGGGGGCAGAAAGCGGGGGGAGGGGGGGTGGGAAGAAAGCGCCGCGGGGGTGCAGGGATGCCTTCGGTGTCCCCTCCCCAGAGCTCGTCCCTTTCCCCGGGGGAGTCTCGCTGTGCTCCATGCCCGGGTGCGTACCTCTGCCTGCACGCAAAATTCCCCTCCCTTCTTTTTTTCCCCCCCTCCCTCCCCTCTCTTTTAAGTGGATTTTTGCTCTCACTTCAATAACACACCGGCTCTAATTAGCTGCAATATTAAGAAACGCTGCTAAATGACAGTTTTATCGGGTTTGTGCAGATAGGAGGAACGCGGGGACCCAGCGAAATACCCACCCAATGCGTTCGGCGCTGGATCCCAGCCAGCAACCACTGCTCGCTCTTTTTATATGGAAAAATGGCAACATTTTGGAAAGCAGCTTTAAAACTTTGACTTATATTTTACATGCTAAATAACGGGGAGAATGGCGACAGCGTTACAGAAAGCTTCAACCCTGCAAATATTTGAATGGGGCTTTTTTGTAAAGTAGAGCAGCTGTCAGTCAGCTGGCTTTGACAGCCTGCCACAATTTTGTCATTTAATAGTGGGTGTTAGGCTAAGTGCAAAACACTCTGGCAAACAGATGTCAAACCTACATCTCATATAAATGGGGGTTGTAAAATTGAGTTTTAACCCACATATAGGGTTTTAAAAAGCGATGCCAGTGTGTAAACTGTATACAAAATAGAGATACTGACAATCTCCCGTGTGGGCTTGTTATTTAAAGTAGGCTTATTTAGAAATCTGACCTCCAAATTATGCTAAATCTTCCTACATTTCAAACAGTGGAATATGAGAACAGTGCTTTGGAAAGTCGAAATTAAGGACAAATATGATGGCTTGTTGAAAGGGGCTGATTGCCATGTGTACTGAGAAACCAAGGCACATTCAACTCACCATCGCTCTTCCAAGTCCGAAGAGAAGGAAGGAAGGAAGAAAGGAAGGAAGGAAGGAAGGAGGGAAGGAAGGGGGGAAGGAGGGGGGAAGGAGGGAAGGAAGAGGGGAAGAAGGGAAGGAAGAAGGGAAGGAAAAGAAGGGTTTGGCAGGTTCTGAGATTCAGGGACTGTTTTTTAAAGCGGGACCCGAGTGATTTGATTTAGGCGGCAGGGGAAGGAAAGATCACAGACGCAGCGAGCAGGCACCTGCACAACCACAGACTCCGTAGGATGAACGAGGGACCGTGCAAGGAGGTGGCCAGACCTGCTGAAAAGGACGGCAGGCACCCGTCTAGAACATGGCAAGAGAGATTATGAGCGGTAGCGGGAAGAAATATTACTCAATAATAATTTCTTCGAAAGTTACTATTTGAAACCGAACTGCTTTTTCTTTTGAACTCACATTTCCAAGACTCGTATCTTCACTGAGATGTGGTTTTCCCCTGTACTTCGAGGAACCTCCCTGGCAAATTTCCTTTGAACATTTAAAAGACGTCATAAATATTTACACCAAAAATTGTTCGTTTCCTCAGCTGGTTAGAACGAAGCAAGAAGAGAAAATGATTCAGTAATGATATTATATGGATTATATCAAATTCCCTAGAATAAGTCTGCACCCATATTATCATTTTGGAAGCTAGACATGCAGCTTCCTAGACAAGTCAACATGAGGGGATTAAATGAAACATTTAATCGAAAAGAATTGTTCATATTAACAATTACCCACAGTTTAAATACACGCTTAGCTGATTTCCTTGTCGAGTACTCAGCTGCAATATTTGCACGGTCCTAGCTGATGTTAAATGAGTAGAGGAATGCACACGGGATGATTATTGATCATATGCAGTTACTGCTGTCTACTTTAAATCCCATTTGATCCGAACTCTCTCCACGCTCATCTCAAATTCCCCAAAGCTCTGCTTCTTGTTTACAGCGTTCTCCTCTTTGCAGGTTTTTGTTTGTTGTTTTGCGGGGACTGTAGACACTTACTTTTGCAGAACTACAATGAATGCCTGAGACTGGCTAATTCTGCCCCAGGTATTCAAAAAGCTCAAGGGGAGATGTGGATGCTCGCAGCCCCGCGCCCGATGGGAGGTCACCCCGCTCTGTGGGCAGCGGGTAGCGGTCCTTGGCTGCAACTCCGGAGTTGCAGATCTCACCCCTGGGCTCTCGGAAAGGGGCTCGGAGCCTCCCGCATCCCTTACCAGGACTCTTGGGCAGACACTCCTTTCGGATCTGACCTGAAAGTTGTCGCTTCAGAAATCCCAGATTTAAAAAAATATACTAATAAAAGCCTAGCGCTTCGCCTAGGGTGCTCCAGGCTGAGGGTACCGAGGACTCTTCGGGTCCCAAGCACCAGCCCCGAGGTAAGGTCTTTTCCATGCCTTGACAACGCCAACTACAGTCTAGCATCGGGTAATATCGTCGAAGAAGAAATCAGGTTTTACTTTGGAATAATTGCCTCCAACTTGTTTTAAGTCAATTGTAGCTGCAACTGTGATGGACAGTGAGGCTGGCTCTGTGGCTGGTCCCCGGCTCTAGAGAGGAGCCGTGGTCTGTCTTTATTCAATTCCCTCACACAGAAAAATTCCTGTTTGCAGCCCATTTGCCTGCAAAGAAAGGTTACAGTAGAACATGACCCTTATTTTCGAACAACTGACTGACCAACAAATCTGCAAAAAATATTTATCAATATCTTTGATAGATACTAAAAATCTCCTCTTGCCACCTAAAAATGGACATTTTGTTACCTCTAATGTATTTGCTTTTTAAACAACATACTTGTAGAATTGTTGCTTTCCATCACAGACACAGCTGTCCTCTTTTCAGCATTCTGCCATAAAACAGTTCCAAACCTCAGAATTCAGAATATAATTGACATAGCAAAATATTTTTTTCCTCAAACATAGCAGTTTGATCAATTCTTGAAATTAAGTCCAGTGACAACCTGCCTGTTCTCCAATTGCTCTGAAATACAGATCTGCACTCTCTCCAACTGCAGTGTCATAAGAAATCCAAGCACTCAACTTGTATTTATTCCTGTACTTCAAACGTTAATATTAGCATGTTTTCAAGGAGGAAATATCATAGCATAAATTCAAATGATAGCGCTGGGAAATTACTAAAATAACATGGGAAATGTAAACAAAGATGATTATGATTTTAGCATTTAAGGATTAAACGGTGTTTGT